ACTATATTAAAGAGTTTATGTATGTAGTAGAATGGGGAGTAATGTAAACACCTGCCTAAAACGATGAAAAGCGAGTGTTTTGTTTTGGGATTGAATCATGGCTCATCACCTACTGCATGACCTTGAGCATGTTACCTGAACCTCATTATCTGTAGATGAGATAATAATTGTACCTGAAAAGGTGCTCAAAAGGATTTTAAATTAATTAATACCTATGAAGCTCTTTAAATTGCCTTAACACCTAAGACAGACTCTTTAAAATGTCAGCAATTGCCCAGCTGGTGTGGCTCAGCGGTTCAGCATCAACCCATGAACCAGGAGGTCACAGTTCGATTCCTGGTCAGGGCACATGCCTGGGTTTTGGATTTGATCCCCAGCAGGGGGTGTGCAGGAGGCAGCCAGTCGATTCTCATTATTGATGTTTCTGTCCCTCTCTCCCTCTCTGAAATAAAAACATTTTAATGTTAGCAATTATAGTTAACACCATTATTGTCACTATATACTTTGTGCTCTAAAACATGAAAATTCTGTTTTCAGAATTATTTTGCTAGTCTGTGTTTGAGTACTTTCTTGCATTTTCAGTATCATACCCTTTGTTTTTATTAAGGGTTGATAAAAGGAATCTAAAAAACATATGCTTCTGTAAAATTTCTATTGAAGATATTGTTCATTACATTTGTTTGATCTTATTGCTTTTTACAGTATGTGTTTTACTGTAGGTCATATAAAAAGTATTAGCAGCCCTAGCTGGTTTGGCTCAGTGGTTAGAGCCTCGGCCCGCCAGACTGAAGACGTCCAGGGTTCGATTCTGGCCAAGGGCATGTACCTTGGTTGCAGGCTCAATCCCTGGCCCGGGTCGGCGCACGAGCAGGAGGCAACCAGTTGATGAGTCTCTCTCACATCGATGTTTCTCTCTCCCCCCCTCCCTCCCTTTCTCTCTTCCACTCTTGCTAAGCAGTGGAAAAAATATCCTGGGGTGAGGATTTTTTTTTAAGTATTAGCAAAAGATAAATGTGCATGCCCACTATATTTAGAGCATCTACAGAGTGCTGTATTGCTAGTAAAATAGTCCTTTTTCCTGTGAGTGGCTTGTAGTTTAATAGAATAATGTATTAATATATATTTTTTAATTCCTTCTAGCATTTGAAACAACAACAGGAAGGCCTTAGCCACTTGATTAGCATCATAAAAGATGATCTAGAAGATATAAAGTTGGTAGAACATGGATTGAATGAAACCATCCACATCAGAGGTGGTGTATTTAGTTGACAGATCACAAACTTGTTAAAGGTTCGTGAACTGTATCTTCTTGCTACATCAGGCCTTCCCTAAAAAAGAAACTGACCACACATGGAGAAAAAAAGAAAATCCTCTTCTGGCTTGGTTTTTGAGGAGGTTACTGACAAATTATTGTTCTTCAGATTCGAAATAAGTCACTTCACAGCTCTTCAAAGACAGCCTTTGGAAGATTCCATCTAAAAGCTGTTATTTACTTTGAGAAGTACATAATTAACAAAAACATGTACTATTATACATTTTTACAGCGGCATTTTTCTTAAGAATAATCAGTGTTTAATGATTATTCTCCATTGAGCCTGTACTATGCTTTCCATAGCAAGTAAATATGCAAGATCTACTTTGCACATAAAATGTATGACTACTTGGCTGTTGGAGATTTGTACTTCAGTTTTTATATTTGTGAATTCACCCTTGGGAGGAGTAAAGAAATTCAAGAGTATTTAATGATTAATGTGGTTTTCTTTTCATTCTATAAAAGATTTGAAAATATATTTTTATATTATTTTACTTATTTGAAATTTACAGAACACCCTTATAAGCAATTAGGATATAATAAAATTACATTTTATCATTTTTGCAACTTTGTTTTTTAAACCTTTTTATTTCTAATAAAGATGAAAACAAATAAATTCTTGATTGTAATTACTTTTATGAAATTCTGTCTGGTGCTTTATTTGGCTCTGGGAGAATGACCATTGATGTCTATTACAATTCAAGAATTTTAGTCTTTCCTTGTTTTAAAGTCTGATTTTTCCCTCCAAAGGAAAAAATATCAATGCTGCTTATCTGACTTGGCAAATAAAACTTCAGATACCATCTAGGATAATTTCCTAATATATCATTAGTATCTAGAAACACTAGAAAATCTGAATCATAATGTGAAATAGTCATTCACAACCAGATAATTTTAAGCAATTTTTCTTACTACAAAATGCATACCTGGGCTTGGCTCCCTCTGGGAAATGCTTTAACTTTGCATTTCTGTGTGATGCGCTGGCGTGAATCTTGCCACTGTGCCGTCCTCTGAGACCGACTGAAGGAACCTCTGTCCAGCTGCAGGCGAGGTGACAGTTGTGTAGGAGACTGGCTGCTAGTAGACTGCAGCCACTTTCGCCAAGGTCTGGCCCGCAAGCGTGTTGTACTACATACCACCCATCCTGTTCATCATTCCTCACGGCTGCAGTTCCAGCAAGGAGGAGGAAACTTCTCCTTGGCCCGGGTCGGCGCTTCCATTCTCACCCACGCGGCTGTGGCGGGCATCTGCCCCCTGCCCACCCTCTGAGCGCAGGAAGAGTTGCTAACTCAGGAGAATTGTTCCTCACGGAGCCACATTCCATGAAGAACAAACCGCTACCTTCGCACACCATGCTCACTTCGCTAGCCTTTCATTTTTCATGCTCTGATAGTTAGGTTCCTAATTTCCCAAGATAAAGAAATAACCCCTAGATAGGGCCCAGGGCCGGCCTTTTAAGTTTTGATCCAGCACGTGTAAGGCTGACTTACGGTCCTTGCTCATGTAGATAGTTAGATATGACTTGATCTGCACATAACCAAGTTCTAAATTTGGGTGAGTAGGAGACAAGACCCACTTGGCCTCAGCAGGAAGTTTCTTTTCCAACAGAATTTACAGAAGTTCTGTTTAGTCTGCAACTGGCTAATTGTTCTTGTGGACAGACTACTAAAAATTCCAATCAGAGTTAAATGGTAGAATTAAAGCATACTGAACCCCTAACAGTGTAAGTTTTATGTAATTTTTTTCTGTATCTTTGAGAGTGGGCTTAAATCCTTTTGGCAACGTGTAAACAACTGTCCGTTACCAAAGCCCCATGCCTAAATCAGTCTCTCAACCACCACAATGCCCTGGGAAAATGGTCCTATACTGTATAACCTCATTTTCCCTTGCTTATTTAGCATGCATGTAGAGTACTGTCTACCTTCCTGGATTAATGAGGTCCAAGTTAGGGACTATGTATGTGAAACACTTGGTGAACTGTTGTGTTCATACTTCGGGGGATGATACTATTGAAGTCAAAGTCTAATCCTTCAAGGATGAGTATCACATCTTTAAAATTCAGTTTTGCAACAGCATGATGCACCTGCAGGGTATTATGCTCAGTGAAGTACGGCAGAGAGAAACATCTATGATTCCACTTATATGTGGAATCTAAAGAACCCACTTATATGTGGAATCTAAAGAACAAAATGGAAACAGACTCGGAACAGACTGATGGTTACTAGAGAGGAGGGGATTTGGGAGGGGGTGGGCCAAAGGTGATGGGATTAAGAAGTACTAATTGGCAGGTACAGAACAGTCAGGCATGTAAATTACAGTACAGGGAATATAGTCAATAATATTAACTGTAGCCCGGCCAGGCGTGGCTCAGCAGTGGAGTGTCGACCCAGCATCCAGGCGATTAGGGTTTGATTCCCAGTCGGCACATGCCCGGGTTGCGGGGTCGATCCCCAGTGGGGTGGCGTGCAGGAGGCAGCCGATCAATGACTCTCACCATTGATGTTTCTCTCTCTATCCCTCTCCCTTCCTCTCTATGAAATCAATAAAGATGTATTTTAAAAAAATTAATATTAACTGTAAGGGGCCATGTGGATACTTGAGTATGGAGGGGACCACTTTTTTTTTTTAATTCTCATAGTTTTATTTGTATTTAAAAATACATTGGAAATTCTGCATATGCCCATGATCAAGCTTATTTTCAATGCACATTACATATTGATGACATGATTCTTACAAGTCCTTTTTCAAGCTGAACACCAAAATAGGGAGACTCCTGTACATTTCTACTGGCCCTGCCACCAATGATGCCTACTGCTTCCTTGCTAACAATGATGGATGACCTTCACCCGCCTTTTATTACCTGAACAGTTTTCCGACCGTAGTGATAGTAACTGTAAGCTGATGCAGCTGTGGTGAAAGTTGTAAAACACCACAGTATCTGAAGGTAAATGCTGTCAGCGTAATTGAGAACCGGAGCTGCCAAAGAAGGTGCCACGGCGAATAACTGGACTGCTGTGTTTACCTTGCTGATGAAGGTGGGTTTTAACCCAGTGGCGACATAGCAAGGATTGAAATACTTAGACGTGTTCACGGTGTTGGAAAAGTCTGGTATCTGACAAAAAACAGCAATCAACATTACATCTCTTGAAATTATCATGTAAGTGGAACTGGAATAAGATCTGCATAGCTCAAGCTAACATATACGATACTAAATATTTTATCAGGAAGTGGATCAAGAGCACTTCCCAAAGCTGATTTTTGACTGGCCCAGTTTCGAGCAATAAATCCATCCAACAAATCAGCTCAGCTACAGCAAAAACTCCTAGTGCAATATTAAAATCTTCAATCAAATAGCCCCAAACCGGGGCCAAGCCAATTGTCCTCATTGACAACAGATTTGGGATTGTCCATGGGTTTTCATACAGGCTGGCGGCGCCCGCTGAGCCCCATCAGCCGCCCCAGCCTCCGAGGCAGCACCAGGGCGGCCTCCTCTCCAGCCATGGGCCCTGGGGTCACCTTCCTGACACCTGAGCAGTGGCTGCGCGAGGCTGGCCCAGGCCGCCACAGGCCAAGCGCGGCCTGGCGCAGTCACCAGCGCCCCGCCAGGCAGCCCAGGCAGATGGGTGTGGGTGGCAGCAGGGCTTGGAGGATGCGCCCCTCGCCCGGCCACGCCCCCGGCGCAGGGCACCCCCACAAGCTGCGCGCCCTGCGGCCGAGCTGCGCAAAAGCAGGCAGCGAGAGCTCAGCAGCCTGGGCACCAGCGATCCGCTTCCCCGTCGAGTGCCCACAGCCTCTGAGGACTGAGGACACTGCCATACTTGGGGACCACTTTTTAAAGTATACGACTGTCTAACCACTATGCTGTACGCCTGAAACTAATATGCAAAATAATATTGAATATAAACTGTAATTAAAAAATAAGAAAAAACCCCCCACCTGATCTAATTTAGGAATTAAATTCATGGTAACCACTAACACTGGATACTTTAGTATTGGCAATTCTACTGAAATTGTATCTAATAATCTTAAAGTCTTTTATTGAATTCAATCAGAAATATACACTTTTGCAATAAAATTAATATACAAATAAGTGAAAACAATTCTACAACATAACTGGACAAACTTGATGGATTTGCAAAGTGAATAATATATGCAGTTCTCATTTTATCAACTAACTTTGGCCAACAAGTGAAAAATGTAACATTCTTTTTTGATCATTTCCTATGGGATCCCTGTACTGCATTTTAAGTAATAAAGAATATATCTGACTAGAGAGTAACAAAGAGATACACTGCAGAAGTACTGATTAAAATGATGAATGTCCCAAAAGGCGGAAGGAGCATTTTGCCAGAAGATGCAGAGGGATGGGTTCTGGGACCTGGACCTGGACCTGGACCTGGACCTGGACCTGAAGCTGGAGCTGGAGCTGGAGCTGGAGCTGGAGCTGGAGCTGGAGCTGGAGCTGTTAATGAGAACACATAGTCATTGATGGTTTCATTTTTAACATCAAGTTCATCCATCTATACCATATATCCTGAATATGTAAACAGACATTCAAGGTGAGTTAGAAACTAACCTGAAATGCTTCCAACCAGGAACAATTTTCAAATAAATATCACCCATTACAGATTTCTGGCTTTATTTTCATATATAGGGTAGAACAAAAGTAGGTTTACAGTTGTACATATGGAATAATACAATATATAAATAATACATGAATAAACTTTCTGGTACAACTATAAATCTACTTTTGCCCCACTCTGTATATCATTAGAATATGCTGCTATAAGTTTTCACATAGGATTCCACAGACTTAATAATATCTATGTAGACAAGCCTGGCCAGTGTGGCTCAGTGGTTGACTGTCGACCCATGAACCAGGAGTCCGCGGTTCGATTCCCGGTCAGGGCATATGCCCAGGTTGCGGGCTTGCTCCATAGTAGGGGGTGTGCAGGAAGCAGCTAATCAATGAATCTCTCATTATTGATGTTTGTATCTCTCCCTTTCCCTCTCTCTGAAACCAATTAATACATATATTTTTTTTAAAAATCTATGTAGACAAGGTAATTTTTTGTTGTTCAAGTTCTCTAAAATTATCAATTTTCTCTTTTCACTGTTTGCATACATAGGCAAGGTAAGGTTAATTTTGTGTCTCTTCTATTTCAAGTAAAGTATATATTTCATATGTACATACAACTACCAATATACAGTTGAATATAGCTGCATTTTAAAACACTAAGCCCTGTAAGCTCATTAAAATTTTAATTTTTCCCCTCATACATACAGTATTCTACTTTGGAGAAAACTGCTTCCCTTTCATCTGAAGTAGCGGAGAGGAACAGTGGAGTCTCCATCTCAGGGTCTGTTTGACACTACCCTTAACTCAGATACCCGACTTCTGGCTGTGCTTTTGGCTTAGACTGTACAAGGGAGGATTGACTAGAAGTATCCAAATGGGATCACCACTCAGGTTTCGTAAGCGAGGCCAAGAGAAATAGCCAGTAAATTTTATAAAAGCCTTCAACTCATTCTGTCAATTTACTTACCATAATTACAGACACGCAGTTACATGTATACAGATGGGGAAGTGGGCGGGCGGATGTACTCATGCATTAGTTTGTTACTATAGAGCAGTGGTCCTCAAGGGGACAGTATTGCCTTCTAAGAGACAGATGGAAATTTGTCATGGTATTTTTCTATTGTCACAGGGTGGGGTGGAAGTAGAGGGCTAGTTTTGCACCATGAAAAATCAACCAACTTACACACAAATTTCAAATGTACTGCTAGACATACACATAAGTTAAAAACCTATTTATAATGCATAACCCAGAACTTAAATCAGTTTTATATGTAAACAAAATAATTTTAGACAGTTTTAATAAACAGTTTCTGTCTAGTACCCATGGTATTTCTTCACTTTCATTTTCTTATACTCACATAGAGTAGCTTCAAGTCTTCTCTTAAATCCAGATTTATTTGCATAAGTAAACACAATCATCTGTCTACTACATTATGTCTTCTAGTATAATCTAGGCATTTACATATTAAAATGTACGTAATTTTGTTATAAATTACAGTTATATTTTTATGGGTGCAGGTAGGTCTCCTTATCTATGAATCTTATTTCAGGATAGTATAAGGGCTTTATAAAATATCTGTCATAAAAAGGGAGAATTTGGTTGACAGGATTGAGAACAACTGGTCTAAACAGTAGTCTCTACACATAGAAAATGACTGCTCAAGAGACGTCAAGTTGCTCCACCATATACACACACACAAGCATTTGGATTGACATTATATTCTGTTATGATGTCTTAAATCCTTGAAACTTTGTTCCTTTAAGAAAATAAATTTCTTACTTTTCTGTATTGCAGATCAAACATTTATCAGCTAAGGGAATGAGATATTTCTTATTAATATTGTTGATACCTTCTTGACTCTTATACTCTAAAATATAAACAGATTTTGAGTTAATTGCATTGTATACCTATTTATCCAGAAGAGAAAAATCTGATTAAATGATTAAGCAAACTTGATTTTCTGGAAGTGGGCCTGAGGGGCAGGGTATTAGATTTAGAGGTATGCGTGTGCCTGGGGGAAGGGTTTGTTACTCACTTGCACTCTTTGGATTTTTTTTTTTTTTAAATAAATCTTTATTGATTTCGGAGGAAGGGNAAATAAATATTGATTTCGGAGGAAGGGAGAGAGAGACACAGAAACATCAATGATGAGAGAATCATTGATCAGCTGCCTCCTGCAGGAATCAGAATTCCTGATTCCTGCCCTGACCAGGAATCAAACCATGATCTCCTGGATCCTAGGTCAATGCTCAACCACTGAGCTATGCCAGCTAGGCTGGATTTTTTTTATCAAGGAAGTATTTCCATTAAAATAATGGTTAAAATTTTGATTACAAAATAGTGTTTTACATATTAAATTTAGATTCCCAAATGCAATATTAATACCTACCATTTATTGAGTGCTTACTATGTGTCACTCATTGTGCAAATGCTTTATGTATATTGTTACCTTTATTTCTTACAGTCCTAGAAGGCAGGTATAGTTATCCATAGCATACAGATGTTCCTCAAAACTTAAATAAAATCAGAGGTAATCAGTGGTAGCAATGTCTGATTTCAAAACCTCTGCTCCTATTTCCTATGCTATACTACCTCTAAGTGTGTGCCTAGCATTAAGATATTAATATTGCCATATTCTGACGACTTTGAAGCCAAATGCTAACTGTAGGAGCCCAGGATAGAAGAGTATTTTTTATAACTAAATATAGGTGAAAGACAAGTGTCGTGTGACAAAGTGAACAAAACTTGAAAAGTTTGAGTCCTGGTTATCTCTTTCTAGCCTTTTACAGGTTCCTTAAACCTTCCTACATCCCATGTCCTCATCTCTGAAATGTCAAAAAGTCTTTACCTTAGATTAAATGAGATTCTGTGTGAATGTTTTCACAAAAAGAGCATGCATTACACACAGCTTTCCAGGAGAGGGCACAATACAAATAGTCCCTACAAGCCTATTTGTTGGAGGACATGGAAAGTGTAGTGAGCAGCATGGAATGGCTGGTCCCATGCTGTAGACTCATGCACACCTCTTTGATGAAGCTATTCCTGTGACTACAGATGCCCTCACGGTAGCCAGCTCACCCTGGGAAGCCTCTTGCCCTGTTCTGGAACAGATCAGTGCAGCTGTAAGCCAACTGTTCCAGTTTAGGTCAAGCACCTTTTCTTCTGCTTGGCCCAAAGCCGTAATAGCAACTAACACTGAAAGTTAACATTTCCTCCTCCAGCTTGCAGACTGGCATGTCAGTCTCCCCAGACTCCTTATGATTAAGCTAACTGAATGATTAACCCCATGGTGCTTCCACCCCCAATAAAAAATTTATTACTGCCCGGCTGGGCGTGGCTCAGCGGTTGAGTGTCGACCTAGGATCCAGGCGATCGGGGTTCGATTCCCGGTCAGGGCACATGCCCGGGTTGGGGGCTTGATCAATGACTCTCTCATCATTGATGTTTCTATCTCTGTCTCTCCCTCTCCCTTCCTTTCTCTGAAATCAATAAAGATATATTTAAAAAAAAAAAAATTATTACCAGGTTTTTCATCCGATTGTACCACTTTTATTCCTAAAGATTTTCAGATGATAATAAAAACAGCTACCACTTACTACTTTAAACTATTCTTCACTTGCCAGTACTTTATATCTCATTAGGACTGTAATCAGTCCTGTAAGACAGAAGTTTTCTTCATTGTACAGATGTGGGAAGAGAGGTGCAGAAAAGTGAAGTAACGTATACAAAGTTACCCAGAAGAGACTTCCAGTCAAGATGGCAGCATAGGGAAACACAGAACTCAAATCCTTCCACAACCACATTAAAATTACAACTAAACTACAGAACCACCATCATTCAGAACTGCCTGAAATCTGGCTGAATGGAAATCCTACAACTTGGGAATTAAAGAAGCAGCCAGACTGAGACTGGTAGGAGGGGCAGAGACATGGAACAGGCTGGTCCCACAACCACATGTGGCAGATAAAAATTGGGAGGGATATCTCGCTGAAGGTACCCCGAGGGAGCAAGGGATCCTACTGCCACACCAGGCTCCCCAGCCCAGGATTCCAAAGCCAGGAAGAGAAGTCCCTATTTCTGGCTGTGAAAATCAATGGGGATTGTGGCTGAGTGAGAATGGCTGCTGGAGTTCTAGGCAGTTCCTCTTAAAGGGTTCGTGCATAGACTTACTTGGATTCATGCCCTCTGAGCTCCAGTGCTGGGGGAGCAACTTGAAAGGAACCAGGGGCATACTGGCAAGAACTGAATTGTCTGGCATCAAGGTGAGAGCTGGGAGGCAGCTTTCTTCCAGAGAAAAGTGCTCGCAGAGGCCATTGTTCCTTTTCTGAGACATCCCCCATCCCCATAGAACCAGCAAGCCGGCATCATATCTGCATCTATATCAACCTGACTCACACTGTTCACCCCACCCTGATGACTGCCTGAGACCTTGCCCCATCCAACTTGAGGGCCCACCCAAGCTATTTCCAGTGACTCTTCCATACAACTGGCCTCTCTTGCCTCATGCTTTGGACTTTCCTAAAATCTCTCAAATAAGCAGCATTTGGCCTCTGCATACCCCATACCTCTTGTTTAGTGGCCTCAGGCCTGGCACTGCAGCAGCCAGCCTTGGTTCACAGATTGGCCTCTCCTGGCCACCTCTAAACCCAGCACAAGTAGCAGCTATCTGCAGATTGCTCTGTAGCTTGTGCCAGGTGACCCTAGGCAGGGCACAGGCAGTGGCTGACTTTGTACCTCCCGGGAGGCCCCAGGGCCAGTGCACACAATGGACAGCTTCAGACCACACCAATTACAACCCTACCACCTCCACGAGTGACACACTGAAGGGGTCGACTCAGTGAGCACCAAAACCCCACTGAAACAAGTTCTGCCAAAGGTTAAAGACAAATGAGAATCCTAAAAGCAGCAAGAGAAAAGCAGTTACCTACAAGAGAGCTCCCATAAGACTGTCAGCTGATTTCTCAACAGAAACTTTGAAGGCCAGAAGGGAGTGGCAAGAAATATTCACAGTAATGAAAAGCAAGGATCTACAACCAAGATCACCCAAGCAAATCTATCATTTTTGTTTGTTTTTTAAAATACGGTTTTGTTGATATTTTTTAGAGAGAGGAAGGGAGAGACAGAAACATCAACCAGCTGCCTCCTGCATGCCCCCACCAGGGATCTAGCCCACAATCCAAGCATGCTCCCCAACCAGGAATAGAACCGGCAACCTCCTGGTGCACAGGATGATGGCTCAACCAACTGAGCCGCACTGACTGGGCAAAGCTATCATTTGAATCAAAGGACATATAAAGAGCTTCCCAGACAAGGAAAAGCTAAAGGAGTTCATCACCACCAAACCAGTATTACATGGTATGTTAAAGGGTCTTCTTTAAGAAGAAGAAAAAAGATAAAAAATATGAATAAAATGGTAATAAATACATATGTATGAACAATTGAATCTAAAAATCCAAGTAAATGAAGAGACAAAACAGAAACAGACTCATAGATTCAGAGAACATTTTGATGGTTACCAGATGGGACAGGGGTTGGGGGCATGGGTTAAAAAGGTGAAGAGATTAATACAAATTGGTTGTTACAGAATAGTCATGGGGATGTAAAGTGGAGCATAGGGAATATCGTCAATAATATTCTAGTAACTATGTATGGTGTCAGATGGGTGTGAGGTTTAATAGGGATGATCGCTTAGCAAGTTACATAATGTCTCATCACTGGGGTGTACACCTGAAACTAATATAATGATGTATGTCAACTGTAATTGAAAAATAAAAAATGATTTTAAAAAACTCCAGAAAGAAGAAAACGGCAAAGGAGAGATATCATGAAGCTAGGTCTCTCTGTCTACACAGTCCATGTCCATCCCCACATGCTCAGAAGCTGTACCTAATAAGGTGACTCTGAGTACTATGCTCAGGTCCAGTGAGCAAAAGAGGTGTACACACATAAGGTATTTCATCAGTGTTGTTGGAGGTTCACTTCCAAGTTGTGGCCAAATAAGTCCAACAGTGCAATCTGGGTGAATATGAAAGAGCAGCTGAGGCACAGAGAAGTGTTATCACTGCCCATAGTTCTCTGGTTAAATGTTATGTCCATTTATTTTATTTACTTCTTGTCTCAGAAAAAATTAAGTTTGAGAGCCTTTTTATTTTTTTCCTTCCCTGTAAGCCTAAGTTCTGAGGCCCTTCTCAGGAACTTGACATGAGTCACTATTCATTTTTTCTGGCCATAAAAGCTCAAGGTCCCTCAGTAGCCTTGCCCTCAGTGACAGCCTCATACTTTTTAAATAACCATAAAATGGTTATACCTTAAAGGTAGGTTAATTCTGCCATGGTATATATACTGGAAAAATATACCTGAAGAACTGCAAATCTTAAGGAATATGTACTTGGCTGTACGTTAAGAGACTTGGGTCCTTCACTCACTTATGTGATCTTGTACAAAGTACTTGGGCTCCCCTGCATGCCTAATGTTGACAGTTATGTCTATCCCCTCACCCCCAAACTGGCACCTTCCTCTCTGGTATGCCTAACACTGCTTACCAAGCAGTGGAAAAGGTTCTGGAATTTTCACTCCTAAATGAGAAAGTTTTCAGTGACTTGCAGTTTGCTCAAGTGAGTACAATTTCCAAACTCTTGTCTGAGACTGAGTGATACAGTGCCAAAGGTCCCAATGTACTGTAGTTTCTGGCTTTTTATTTAAAAGTTACCACTACATGAACCCTCACTGTGCAAATCTACACTAAGCTTACAGGAGCCTTTGGCCATGGCACCTCACTGAGTCTGAAAGGAAAATACTGTCCTATGTTTTGTAAGGTAACGATCAGCTTTTGTGTGAAGATTAAGTTTCTACTGAGTAACTTTAGCTGTAGAACCTGGAAGGTTCTAAGCTGCATGCATTCAGGTCCCCACAGCCTTGGCCTTGAGCGATGCTCACAGAAAGCGAACTTTCCTGCTCCAGGAACAGGAGTAAAGGTACTTTCTCTACTCTCTTCCCCAGCTAAGTCTTTGTAGGATGACTGGCAGGCAGCTGTAAAGGAAATATTAACAAATAACAATAGTCTCATGACAATATTCTCTTTAATGCCAAGGGGAATCCTTCTCAGCTCATACTGGGCCCAGAGAGTTAACAGAAATCTGTCTTACCGGGTATTTGGATGGGTTCATTGCTCTTCATACCTAAAGACAGAAATGAATAATGATTGGTGTCAATCAATTATCGTGCATTGCTAATGCTTCCTTTTGTCTATACCTCCCCCATCTCCAACCCTTTACAAAAGGGAAAAGAGTAACAACAAAAACACCTTTCAATGGCTCTTCATTCTCTAACTAGACAAAGCCCAAACTCTTTAGCCTGAACTGCAAGAACTTCATGATCTGGCCCTATGTCTACAATCTTATCTTCGTAAGGCAGTCCTAGTACATAATCAGCTTTTAAATGAAACAATAGTGGGCGTAAGACTCTTCTTGGTTTGGTCCTATTGTCATTACAGTTATTAGCTCTATGATTGTGCAGCCTACTTAATCCCTCTGACCTTCAATTCCTTATTTATGCAAAAGAAATCCTTACCTTGCAGGTTTGCAGTAAGTGATGATTAAAAGAGGAGATACATCATAAAAGTGCTTAATACACTGCATGAAACATAATCAGCACTCAATAAATGGGGGTCACTCATTCCTCAAACTCTCCAAGTCCAGTAATGCCCTTAGTCCTAGGATTCCTTGTGTTTCCTCCTAACCTTGTAGCTAGCCTGAGAGAGTAAATAATAAGTAAAAAGATGACCTACCAGGTAAGACAGTAGATTCCTGTATTTTGATTCCTAAAGATAAGAATAGGGACTAGTTAGTGAAAAATGCACTTGGCTTGAAAATTAATTTAACCTTATATTTATATAGCTATTTATACAGTGGAAAACTCTAAAAGCTTTGAGAGACAGCAGGGGACAGAGTAAAGATTTAACCCACTGGAGCCTGACTTCTGGAGAGAACAATGGCCAGTGACCCAGGATCTCTCCTAGATTAAGCAAAACAGCTCCTGTTTATTTTATTTCATTTTAATTTTTACAAGAGTTTATTTGTGTCAAACTGAGGACATATGTAGGGAACAAGATCTCAGATGCTCCCGTTTTTTTTCTTAGATTCAGTCCAAAGACTGACCTACATTTGTCATGATATTGTTTTTAAATAAAATTTCTTGATTATGTAAGCAAGCAATACATTATAATTACAGATAATTTGGAAAAACACAGGAAATTATTAAAAATTACTCTTAATCCCAAATCTCAGAACGACTCATTCTTAATATTTTTGGTATATAGCTTTTCAATCTCTTTGCTATGTATACATATATGCACATATACATTTTTAACGTATTTCCCAGTACTACTGAGGTGTTATTGACATACACCACTGTATAAGCTTAGGTGTACAGCATGATGACTTAACTTACATACACTGTGCAATGATTACCACAGTAAGTTTAGTTAACATCTATCATCTCATATAGATATACAAAACAACCCCAAACTTTTTTCCTTGTGATGACAACTTTTCAGATCTACTCTCTTAGCAACTTTCAAATACACCATATAGCAGTGTTAACTATAGTTATGGTGTATATTATGTCTCCAGTACTTATTTATCCTGTAACTGGAAGTTTGTACCTTTTCATATTTTTTAAAATAAAACTGATATTATACTCTATACTCTGTTTTATATCCTATCTTTATTTGCCACTGTATATAAGTACTCTCTCATATCCTTAAAACATTTCTCAAAAATGATAAAGTTTAGTGTTTCATAATATGGGTATAATTTTACTTAATAATACCCACCTGTTGGACACTAAGGTTATTTATAAATTTTGGTACCATAACACTATATAAATATTTTTGTACACAAATCTTTATGATTATTCCTTTAGGTCAAATATAGGTTAAAAGGTATGAACATTTTTAAAGCTAGCAATACATACTATCAAACTGTCTTCCAGAAAAGTTCCAATTTATAATCTCACCAGTAATTTATCAGAGTGTTCCTGTCCCAGCACATTTGAGGACATTTGAATAACATCACTTAAAAAAAACTTGGGAATATACTAAATAATCCAATAGATATATCTAATAGCATGTTAGATTGTTGGAAGCAGAAATAAATATACAAAATCATAATTTTTAATTTAGGAAAAAAATGCCATTTTTAATGCCCCTGCCTAACACCCTAGGTCACAAGAGTTTAAGCAATAATTAGTCACACCTTCCTCTATCTATGTAACTGCTAGCATAAAGCAGAAAATATGTTCGCTAGAACTAGTTCCTCAACTTCTCTACTGGGATGATCTAAGAGTGTTAGATAAGAGACACAGACAGAGCCGCTGTGTCACCTTTGTAAAGAAGTTCTATCCAAAACTCAGGAGAGTCTCTGATATACCAAACTAGTATGCTAGAGTAGCTCTTCCCATTGTTCCTTACCATGCCATGTTCATTTGCTCCCAACCCTAAGGAGCTGTCTTGCAAATATAAAACCCCAGAGTTTACAAACATGTCTTACCAGGGTCTTCAAGCTTCTGGTTTTTATCACCTAAGTTACAAAAAGAAACTTTCCATTTTAACAACAGAATAAAATCATTGGAAGTTACCAGAGTTACAGAAAAACTATTTTCAGAAAATATGACCATAAAGAACCATTTGGTACATCCAGTAAATTAATGCTACTAAAAACTTAAGTGTTAACCAGCGTCTAATTGCACCTTGGCTACCTGGGCTAGAACCTTCCTCTGGCACCTCAAGAAAAAACTGTAACATATAACAAGTCTCCTGGGGGATCTCAATGAGCTAGAAAAATGTTTGTCTTGAAGAGTTAGCTGAAGTCCCTGAGAAGTGACCAGTAAAATTTTGGCTGCAATGGCCCAATAAGTGTTGCCAAGCAAGTCCTCAGGGGCATGAAATGCTTCACATCAGGACAGAAAATTATCTTCCAAACATCAAGTAAATTACATTCTTAGGGAAAGGCCAGATACCTTTCTCTCTTCAATAAAGAAAATCTTATTGTAGCTACGTGGGCCAAGCCATAAGGAACTTAAATGCACAGAAGTGGTTTGGGCCATATCACCATAACTAGAAACTCAGGGGAGAAAAGCATCTGATGACCCAGATATTTTATTCAAATGATACCAAACATTAGCATATTTGAGAGGTGCCAATGACTAACTATTCTACTTTTATCTGAATGGTGTCACACAGGTTAATCTCAATGACTGAATATGGAGCCCTCAAACCTCTCCGAGTGACTAACTTCTTCAGGTCCCACCAACCCAATTTCCCTCTCATTTAGAGGGAAATTTCCCCAGACAGATTCTTTCCTTCCCCCACCCATAACTGCCAACTTACTCCTTCATATCTTCAAACTACTCTTTTTCTTCAGCTAAGAACTAAATTTATTAAGAAAGAGCTACTAAATATCCATGTAAGGGTTTTTTAAAATATATATATTTTTACTCATTTCAGAGAGAGGAAGGGAGAGGGAGACAGAAACATCAATGATGAGAGTCATTGATCGGCTGCCTCCTGCATGCCCCCACTGGGAATGGAGCCGGCAACCCGGGCATGTGTCCTGACCAGGAATCGAACCAACATCTCCTGGATTATAGGTTGATGCTCAACCACTGAGCCACACTGGCTGGGCAAAGGATTATTTTTAAACATGAGAGCATACTTACCAGGGATGGAGACATAGATGGGTTGAAAATGATCTGAAATACAAACATGTTTTCATTATATAGTACTATGCTCAGACATGAATGTCAGGTTCAGTCTATTTTTAAATATTTATTAATGATAAAAATTTGAGTTGGTTTACATTTAAGATACATACAAAATATGGTGAGATGACAAATGTAAAAATTTCAGTCTCAAAAACAAATGGATATGGGTTTATTTTAATTACATGAAGAAGAATTCATAGAAAAACTAGCCAGGAAGACAGCTAGAAATGGACCCTTATTCTCAAACTTTTTAACAAGGAAATCTTTAAAATATCCACCCAAAGCATGCATCAGCCCAAGGTTTTTTCTGGCAACACTGGTTCAAATCTGTTAGGCCTATCTAATAATGCTATTCTTTAATACTTGTAAAGTCCCTGCTTACCTACACAAAGCTTTCCCGTGATCCTCTAAGAAAAAGGATCTTTTGCTACACCCTCCCATTTCCCTGAGGAAGTCGAGACGGACCGTATCGCCAGTCTGCCCCTCCAGGCTCTCACTTTGATCCACGCATCACTCTATCCCTGCATGAGTCTCCCAAATGTTAGTTCCTAAGACAGCAAAACATAGGGTTATAAGTCTAGCTCTGTGCAGAGGAGTCAAGTAGGGGCATTCGGGAGTCCTTACGCTCTTGTAAGGATACGTTATGGAGAGAGGGGAATGGTACTGCATGCCCCAGATAAATGCAGTGTTTGAGAGGCTCCTGGGCCCTACAACTGAAAAGGTAGTAGCAGTAGCACAATTCTGCCTTGAGAAATGATGGCTGACAGTATGACATTATGGTCAGATGGCTCTAACCCCTACCTGTGAGAAATAACACTGATAAAATACCCATTACAGAGATAATACTTTAAAGTATAGCTTACCCATGTTCTCAACACAATTTGTAGTTTTTAGTCCTGAAACATAAAGATAAAGCTTTATTAGTTAGACACAATTTACCCTGTAAAGATTTCAAACTGGTCTGTGGCTGTTAGTAATTAATCTGTAAGCCCCTAGTCTACCAGACCCATAACTTAGTGGGATGCAAATTGCAGAACAACTACATTTTTGTATTCATATTATAGCCATCAAACAGCAGTATGATCTTTGATAAAACATCTAATTCAGCTTCCTTATGCGTATCTTTTAGTGGGAGATTGCTTCGAAGGACCTCCAAAGGCCCGTTCAAAGCTAACACTAAATGATTCTATTCTATGATTAGTCTTCAAAAGTTAGGAGAAATTTTACTTATTCAATTAATCCTCTCTTCAGATACTAAACATCCTCAACAGCAAACTTATCGCTCTACTATGACAGTTCCTATCCATTGGAGAAAAATAATCTCAATCAGAGCTTCAAGATCCTTGAATATATGAAGACCCTTCACATGCATATGGAGAAAAGAGTTGATCTGCCCACAACACTGATCTGTATGTAAGGAGATCCACAGTTTTTGGAGAACAGGAACATGGCATCTAACAGTACCTTCTTGCTAGTGACGCCCTGGAAAAAAATCATCAGTACAGCAGTAATTCCCCTGAGACTTGACATAAAGGGGAATCTGCTAGCCTGCCCAACAGCAGTTAGGGCAAGGTCAGTGAGAGTGTGTTTAGATTTGGTGCCAGCATGAGCCATGGAGGGTTGGTTTCCCAGAATGCCACAAAAAGATCTAGATGTCCTAGGGTCTCTTCTCCATGCCTGGCTAACTCACTGATCTAATCAAGTTCAGTTATCTTTGGATAAACCAACCTCTCCATCTAAGATGGGGGAGTTCCTGAGAGGCCTGGCTTCACTATGAGATGCGCTCTTCTATAATCTGTTCTAAAATCCTGCTTCATTTGTGGAGTTTGAACCATGAATCTAGGTGACTCGCTGGTCCAGGAATTAGTACAAATCTGTTACAATCCGATGGTGCCCTGAGCCTAACCTCAGGTGCTTGGCTAGATGAGAAATTTAAAAAACAGTTCTAGAGACGATTACAAAATGTTGCCTCAGCAGATGAATGGGTACAAGCCTTACCCAGAGGGCTCAGTTGAGGGTAAGGTGAAGGTGAGGGGAGTTGTGGATGAGAAAGCTACAGATATAATAGATTCGGCCTGGGGACTAGGCACTGAGGGATTTTAAAAGCCTTTATATCTCTGTCTGTAGATATAATTAGAACAAATTAGAACATGTTCCTCAAAGTGTAGTCTTCCAATCATATTACTTCAGAATCAGCTGGGTGCTTATTAAAATGGAAAACTCCAGGACTCTAGCCAGGACTATTGATCTAGACTTCTGGGGGGGGTGCCTTGTATTCTGCATTTTAAACAAGCACTCCAAATGATTTTTATGCACAAATTTTTTGAGAGCCTCCTCAGTAGCAAAGAATGGGTATCTTTTTTTTTGGATCCTATGTATTTTGTTGGTATTTCTGGTAACTATTTTTTTTTTAAGTTTAAGGAGTACAGCATGATGGTTTGATTTACATATATTGTGAAATGATACCACAATAGGTTCAGGTAACACCCCAGGATGGGTATCTTTTAATATTTAACACAGTTCCGTTTATTCAAGACTTTATTTCTCCTCCCTATTTGACTCTGGGTTTAATCTTTCATTAGTGTTTTCAGCAGCAGGAAAGTAATCAAACTATGTTGGGTTTCCTAAAGTTGTAAAAGGGTTAAAAATGGATAAGACTGATCCAGAAATAAACAAGAGAAGGCACAAATATTATATATAAGGAATGATAAAAGGAATATAACCACAGATTCAACAGGTGTGAAAAGAAACAAGTTACTATGAATAAACTTGAAATGTAAGACAAATGAACAAATTCCTAAAAAAATCCAACATCAAAAATAACTCAAGAATAAACAGAAAAATTGAGTGGTATTTTAACTATTCAGTAGTTTAAATTTTTCCACAAAGAAAACATCAGGATAACTTGATTATTACAGAGTACTAAAGAGAAGGGAACAATACAGATAGACGCCCCAGAGATCTTCAAAGGATTTCCCTCGGAAGTATTCAGCAAAGTACTGGTCACTCCACATGTATGAGGAAACTACCTAAAGCCAGGGGGAGAAGCCACAGGATCAAGAATAGTGCCTGTTCCCACAAAATACACTGCAAAACCTTGAGAGCTGTCATTTTAGCAAGAACTCTACAGTAAGAAGCCTGGAAAGCAGTTCAGACAATAGTAAATCAAGCCCTCCCAGGAGGTTCCCATTTCCTTCAGATCCTGAGAAATTACACATCTGCGACTTAACTCATAAGTGACTGGAATCTCTAGCAACAAGACTACAGCAGTGCTGCCCTGGCTGGGTGCCTCAGTTGATTAGAACATTGTCCCCATACACCAAGGTTGCAGGTTCGATTCCCGGTCAGGGCACATACAAGAATCAACCAATGAGTGCATAAATAAATGGAGCAACAAATTTTTCTCCCCACCTCTTTCTCTCGAAAATCAATTTAAAAAAAAAAGACTACAGCAATATTTTTTGGCCACTGGGTTTTGGACACTTCTTTCCTTTTCAGAGCTGCTACTGCTAGCCTATTATTGGGTCTAATTAAGACAGAATGTCTCACTAAATAGAAGTCATAACCTTCCAAAACCAATATCTTTATGGGCAATGGGTTCTCTCTGAACTAAATACCCATGAAGTAGAAAAAACTCCCAAAAGATACACTGCCACATATAAATTTTACCTCCAATTAAGGGCCAAACCTGGCTCCTGAGGCCTTTCACAAATAGATGGCCGCCTATCTATTACACCTGCAGTTTCCAAACAGTAGCAGAGGTGTCCCTGAATGCTATAGCAAATTCAAAGGGGTACCAAGAGATACTTTAAAATTTCAAGACAAAAACATCCATAGTTGATATCTGTCAGATACCACATGAACTACTAGCTTGAGGTAGGATGCAGTCTCAAAGTTATATCATGTTACATTCTGTTTGATGATACCATACATTTGCAAAGCTATTTTAAGCAATTATTGTGATAAAAAGCAAATATATGTGAAAATTAACATGGATCAGGAAATAAGGTAGTGTCTAATCTAATTACAAGGTTTAAGAAGCTGTGCACTGTCCAATGGACACATACATCCCATTAGCTAGTTGTCATGGTTAGGAATGAAAGAATAGTACTTTAAAAGAAAATTCGGGTGGAAGTGGGCAAAGAAGGAGAAAATGGGAACATCTGTAATAGTTTCAACAATAAAAATAAAGTTAAAAAGGTTTCTGTGTATTACTGTTTCAAACAGCTACTGATATGTTACAAAATAAATGCTTATTGAGCCGTTTAACTTTACCTAATAAATGGAACTTTAGAGTATTTCTTTTAGCCTAGGGACACTGAAATAAATTATAACACTAAGGAAAGGACCATGAACTGAGAAAGTCTGAAAACATCTGCATTAGACAAAACAAAAGCCTGACCTATTACTTTACACTGATTACTGGCTCAATGGGGGTCTTCTCTACAAGACTTCACACCTGAAAAGATATGAAAAGGTAGCACAATTCTCTAATAAAACAGCCTGCCCCAGGTTGGGCAAATCCAATAGAAGGCTGTATCCATCCATTATAATGATAAGAACTTGTTCACTGCCTTGGATGCTCTATGTGAAGAGCTGAACTTCCAATGATGTGCTCCTGCCAAGGAGCACATCTACGTTTATGGTACATCATGTGCCAACACTACTGCCCTAGCTTTATGATCAGGCCATTGAGACACCCAGAATTGGATTACTAAAGATAAACCCAATGTAGTCCTTCTCTATGGAAATAAATGCAGCAAATACAACTCATGAACTCAATCTATTATGTTACACACATACATGCTCATAGGAAGTGACTGCATCTAAAGAAAAGCCTCTGGAGACCAACAAAGCAAATCAAGCATGTGCAGCCATTGTCTCTACTACAGCTTCTGACTCTATAATCTACCCCACTAAGGAAATCATTATAAAGGACTAGGAGTTCAAATGAAAAATTCTACCAGCCTCCTCAGTGAAGATCTCTACAGGACTGACAGGGCTGGCTCTCTTCAGCTATTTACAAGTTGTCCACAATCTGTGAACCTCTGCCTTGACTGAGTTCTCAAGCACCAACGAATTAGGGGTTGGAGAATGAGAGGAATTGAAGAATATTCCTCTCCTTTTTGCATGGGTGTGCTTGTTCTGACTTCTGTGGGTAGATATTCCTATAATACCAGCTTTTCCTTCAGTAAATGAATATATATTTCATATGACCTCAGTAAACAGACTGATCATATTGATCAGATCAAAAAGACCGGTATATGAAACTGGTTGCTGACTTTGCTTCCAGTGGTTCTGTAGCTACTCTCCTCTGCCCACAGAAGTCACTATGGAACTCAACATTATGGAAAAAGGACAGCCAATTTGGATCATCCTCAAGGGGATTATGGTTAAGTGGCTTCTAACATGGCTCCCAAAGATCCTGCCTCCTGGTATTCAGACCCTTGGGTAATTCTCTCCTCTTGAGTGTGGACTGAACCTAGTGACTTGTTTCTAGCAAACACAATACAGCAAAAGTGATGAGATGTCACTTCCATGACTAGGTTGCAAAAGACTGACTTGCTGGCACTGCTTCTTGTTCTCTTTCTTGCTTACCCTGCTACGTCATGTTTAATGATAAAGAATATAGATTAATTACATGGCTGACATTCCACCTTTATCAATTTTTCTAGGACAACACTATCGAAGATTAACCTGTGGTGATTCTCCCATGAAAAAGGACAACGAGTTTCATTACCATTTATGCACAGCTCACTCCCATAATATTGAATTAATACCAAGTTTAGTATCTTTGACCTCCGGGAATTGTATTATCTAGTGGGATATTGGTATTCTCTCTACTTCCTAACCAATTGATTTATTTTTATATTTTAGCTAACTAGTTTTTGTAAGACCAACAACACATTTTTTTCTTGGAAATCATAGGCAAGTTCAAAACAGTAACGCAGGGCTGTGTTAGCACTAAATTTACTACAGTATACATTTTTAATTGCTTTAAGAAATATTGTTTTTCATCCAAAATTATAGTTAGTCACAATGGAATAAGGTTCTGGTTATATCCTCCTGGCCTGCTTCTAAAAGCTCTGGTTAGCCCAGGCGGCGTGGCTCAGCAGCTGAGCATCAACCTAGGATTCAGGAGATCACAGTTCAGTTCCTGGTCAGGGCACATGCTCCAGTTGCAGGCTCGATCCCCAGTAGGGGGCGTGCACGAGGCAGCCAATTAATGACTCTCATCATTGATGTTTCTCTCTCTCTCCCCCCTCCCTTCCTCTCTCTGAAATCAATAAAGACATATTATAAATAAATAAATAAATAAATAAAAGCAAGCTCTGGTTATTGTCCTTCAAGTGTTTCAAACAGCCTAGCTTTAATGATCATTTTTCACCCTCAGTTCCCATTATTTACCTCTAGATGGCAGCAGAGGACACTGGTTAAACTTCAGTTTGGCATTAAATCAACACAATCAAGTGCAGTGGCCTGTCAGGGCTCTCCAAACACTGCATGTGGTCTCCACAAAGGTCTTCCCGTTGTGGCTGGTTTGAACACTAACCTGCCATGTAGCCTCTGCATGACCTTGTGGGCAGGCCCACAGAGGTGTCCCCATTCCCTTTTCCCCTTCCTCACATGGGGCTCATAATGCATTTGCCCATGCAGGTCTGAGCTCTGGTTCATTCTGAATCAACCCAATGGCTTCTTCACCCCTTTTGTTCATCATAATCTCACTCCCAAACATGGGTTCTGTGGGCTTCATCGTCCACCTGGCAATCAACCAGATACCAGTGATTGATCTGGCCTGTAGCTACTGCAGCCAGGGTTTCTGTAAAACCAATGCTTCCACGAATGGCATGTGGCTAAATGCATCAGGAGCACCGAAAGTGGCATTGTTTTGTCAGCCCAGATGCAACTGGGTTTCTGGCCGTGTTGTGCTGGTGAAGTTGAACAAGTTCTGCAGTGGAGGGTGAGGGTCCTGATTTGTGGTGTTTGCTGATTTCTATGGTACAACTCTCAACCATAGCCAATTTCAAGATACTGTGATGTATGAGGAACTGGGAGGACATACGTACCCACAATCAGTTCCCATAACGTGGTATGAACTGGCTCTAACTGGCTTGGTTTTTGGTCAGGTCTAATGCACAGTTGGTAAGGAGAATGAGCATCTTTCCTCTCTACATAAACTTATTCACTCCAGTCATCATCTGCCCCTCAAAGTGAGCAGTTAGTTTCACCTGCAACTCAGGGCCAGGACTAGAGTGAAGCAAATGAGGTGCCGAGTGCAAACTTTAAGGAGGCACCTAGTCTTAGGATCATGCACATGCAGATGCTGCAAGTGTATGACTGAGACTGAGAATCTCCTTAAATTTTGTGTCCCGGGCACCTCATTGGCTACATAGCTTCTGCCATTAAATGTAAGTGAATCAGCCCCCCACCCAGGCATGATGTCTCATCAGCACTTCCCCACCTATTCTTTTTTTATCTCATAGTGCCTTGGCCACATGGAGTCAAATCTAAATGTCCATCCCACTTCTGAGGCCCTACTGCAATACTCTGCTTGACCAGCAGCCACGGTTTGAGGTTCAGCTAGATAATCCCACTCATAAGACCCCAAAAGGCCATCACCTCACCAGTTTTGCAGAAGAGTGCAAGGCAGGGAACATGGCATACTGCTTAGCAACAGGATAGCATGAGATATGTCCCTTCAATGCATGTCCTTACAGCAGTCCAGGCTATTAGCCCCCAGAATGATGCTCGGTTACGAGGAAACAAGATTGGGTGCAGGAACGATCCTAACAGTAGCCTCGTGCCACATATCTATTTGTCACAGAAGACAATATCTCTTATACCAGCCCATGAATGTACTTCCAGTACTCAGCAAGAACAACACCTGGGTATGTCACATACATTCAGGAATGCCCAATATTATGGCTTCCCTCCAAGTATTTACAGTTCATTCACAATCCTCCCAGATCAGATGCATATTACCAACCAAGAATTATGTTTACCATTAAGCAGCTTACCATTAGTCATTCTACCTTTAGATTTCAAAGAAAAAGTGCTAGAAGAAGATCAACCAAAGGCCATTTTTATAGGAGGAAGTAGAAAGAGTTTTGTTAACCCTATACTCACATACACCAAGGTGCAACATTATAAAATTTCAGAATGTTGGGGATAAAGAAAATTATCTTAAAACCTTCCAGACAAAAAGCAGGTCTCATTCAAAGTTTTAGTAATATAATGGCTTCACACTTTTCAACAGCAGTACCAGAAACTAGAAGACAATGGAAGAACATCTCTAAAACTCCTAGGAAAACAATTTCGAAACAGAAATACTAATCTACACAAACTATTATTCAAGCCTAAAGGTAGATTTTTCAGATACAGTCTTACAAAATTTGCCTCAATGTCTCTTTTCTCAGAAAACTTCCAGAGAACCCTTATCCCACCAAACAAAGAAGGAATTCAAGGAAGAGGAAGAGATCCAAGATATAGGGGATTCCTCATGGGGAGAAGCAAAAGAAAGTCTCAGAATCGTAGTGAGGAGAGATTTCAGGATATTCAACAGGCCTAGAGATCACAGCACACAGCAGGATGATCAGAGAATATAGATGGAGTATATCCGGGGGTCGGGGGATAATCTGAATGTATTAAGAGGAGATTTCTATTTCTAAGGATTTGGGGAAAAATTATTGATGAGATATAAAAAACTAAGGGAAAAAAATCATACAACTAATAACCCTAGGGTAAAAGAGGTACTTCAAAAGTACCAGTCTTTACTACACTGGGACAATGGAAAGAAGATAATGCATGAATATTGAGGAGGAGGGTGGTGATTATCAGAAACTTTTAGTTTACTGACCTAATACCTATTTCTGATTCCCTTATCCCTTGCCTCCCTGCACTATAGAGGCTGGAACCACTAATTATCCCCTTTCCAAGCTTTTCTTGTAGTAATGAATGACCAAGTGGCTGTTCCAGTGAATGTTATGTAATCAGAAATCTACTAAGTTTCTTGGAAAATGTTTACCTTCCTGATTAAATAGGCAGATTTGGCTGCCATCCCTCTTCCCCTTGTTTTGTCTTGAACACGGATTGATATCTACAGTTGCAACAGTTACACAGCAAACATACTAATCAACAAGCCAACATGCTAAGACTGGTGGAACAGAAACAGCCTGAGCTACTGATGACATAGTTGAGCCACTGTACCAACTCTGGACAGCCTACCTCTAGACTTATTAAACAAGAGCTATTAGGTAGGTTTCTGTTACAGATGAATGCAATAAAGAATTCCTAACTAATGCATGAAATTTGAGAGCTAAATATTCATTCTCTATACTGTGAAATCAACAGATAAAAACCAAGAAATAACATGCTGAAGCATTTTATTTACTTAGAAACATGATACCAGGTACCTGAAAAAAAAGCTAAAAATAAAAATGGAGGCCACCGAGGAGCGGTGAATGAGAATAAGAATGGGTGGGAAGGGGGCTGCTAGTTTTCACTGTAAGCCATATGGTAGTATTTTAGTTACTTCTTTGTTGTGGGGGGCTGTTATATGCATTGTTTAGTAGTGTCCTTGGCCTCTACCCAGTAGATGCTAGTAGCAACTAGGGATAGTTGTGGCAACTAAAAATGTTTCCAGCCTTTACCAAATGACTGAGGGGCAAAGTGCTCCTGGTTGAGAATGATGTCCTTACAGTACCATTTTATTTTTTTAACTAAATTTTAGAGAGAAAAAAACTGATAGTATGAAAGAAGCTAGACTAGAGTCCACACTGATGTCATTTCTTCTTTCAAACTCAATTTCCTTCCTGACGTCTCCCTGCTCCTAAGAATCCCACTCCTTCCCTCCCAGACAAGCACAGAACAGAGACACTTACCTCCTAGAAATGCACACTCGTAATGGCTGCAGGTCTTGTTTGTGCTTTGAAGGATAAGGTTATTGCCAGCCCCATCCTGTGACACATGAAAAACCTCATTCAGAGGTATTAAAACAATTCTTTCATCTGCTTTATCAAAAAATTTCCCAGTGGTAACTCCAAAGCACGTGTGAATGGTTAGCAGAATGTGTTGGTCACTTGCAGTTTGAGGTTTAGCTGAATATGCCAGGGCGAAATGGCCAAACCTGGCCTGGTTTAGCCCTCCAAAGGTAAATGAAGTATCCTGGCTTGTGCTATACACCACATTTTTGTAACTGTCTTCACAAGGTCTTCTCAGCAACTGAAGGGCTTTGGTCAGGTAAAAATGAAAAGCTTTGAACTGGAAGCCATAGACGTAATCTTTTCGAGACTGGCCAGCCATCTTCACAGCTTCATTGAACAAATTATAAAAGTGAGTTTGCTCTTGAGCTTCAGAAATATATGCCATCAGGGCTATTCCATGGTTATCCTTAAAATTCACAGGGAGAAAGAGCCGAGTCTTCCGAGCTTCCCATTTGGCTTTTGCATTTTCCCACACATCCTCCAAAAGCTGATGGCTTGCTTTTTCTTCCTCGAGCAGTTGGGGAACATATTTGATTTCCATCCTGTCAGTACATTTCTGGTATTCATCATCAAATGCATTATCTGCCATGTCTAACATATTAGCCTTCACCTTCAAAAAAAAAGGAAATTAACACTCTTGAAAGAAGATATTTGTTGTATCATTTTCTCTCACATTACTGCCTCCACACAATCATAACCTGCCAAGAATCTCTCCTTTGCTTATAACCAAATCTGGGTACATTTTTTATGTAAAAAGTGTATTCCCTTGCTATTATTAACTTTTCTCAGCTATGACCTATTTGTATGAAAGAGTAAATGTTAGTGGGTGAGATATGGGTGTGATTATGCCCGTAACTCATTCATTTCAACCTTGTGGTGCAGAGGAAAACCCAGTGAGTATAAAATTGAAGAAATGGGTGGTAGTCCTGACTTTGAAAATATTTAGCTGGATTTCCTCAACCCCTCAAAACTGTTGAGTGAATGTGGAATTATCACGCCATGAAACACTACACATGATAAATACATAATGGCAAATATCACCCCTTTTCTTTTGAAGACACTCCCTTCCTTGTCCATGTAGTTCAGGTAGGATTGATTCTGTACCTTCAGTCCCAGTGATAAGCATTGAATCAGGCTTAAAAACCACAGCACTCTTTCTTTCTCTACAATCATAAGCTCTAAGGATAACATTGGCGTGGGGAAGTCAATAGTAATCCTTTTAGCTCCATGGAGTATCCTGTATGCAAATAAAGCCAACAGAGAAAGGCTGGCAGAGCTGAGGTGGAGAGAGATGAGGCCCTGATAACATTACTTAAGACCCTGGGTCTGGCTGTACCCGAAGACTGTACGTATTTTACCTTAGTCATAAGAAGCAACAACTGCCCTATTTGCTTGAGCATGTTTGCATTGCTTCTGCCATATACAACTGAAAAAGGCCTAATCCACCTTTAAATGATACATATAACATAAAAAGCACGGTGATGTAATGTAGTTAATACTAGCATGGAGTCAGACAGATGTGGGTTCAAATTCCATTTCTGTTACTAATTAGGTACTAGTTAAGTGTGGGAAAGTAACTGACATTTCTGAGCTTCAATTTCTTCATCTAAAAATGAAGATAAAGTAAGGAAATATGTGTTAATTGTAGGACTGTTGTGAGGATTAAGTGATATAATGAATATATGCAAAGCCTTAGCTTCATGCCTGGCACATGTCAAGACTTCAACAGACTGTGGTTATTTTTAATTATTTCATGATATAAATATATGTATTATACTTTTAGTTCCTCAAGGGCAGGATCTGCATTATATTTCTATTTCTAAGTCCAAGCATCTACATATTCAAATGAATTAAATAAGAACCCTGTACACTCTGGTCTACCAATCAAAAAACAGGATGAGCAAATCTGCCTAGGGACACCATTTAAGGGTTTCTACAAATGAAAGGATAATGTCCTCCATATCACTTTCTCTTTCCACTATTCTATACTACTTGTATGGCACACTGGTTGCATAAGCTACATTCTCAGTTGGAGACCTTAGCTGGAGACTTTATAGACACAGATTGAGTAACTTGTCTGGAATTGAAATTTGAGCTTGGACAGTCTAGTTCCAGAGTCTATCTCCTTAATCAAAATGTTGTTTCCAATGATGAAGACCATTGAAATTTATGCAACATTTCTAAAAGGGTTTAATTTTGTTCTCATAACAACCCTTATGAAAGGCGGGGCAGACAATTCATAACAACATTTTACAAACAAAGCAATTATGCCGGCATCAGAAACTGTCTGTTTTGACTACCAGCCACAGAATATTCTTCTGGTAAAGACCCCTGCACTCCTGGGTTTGTAGGTCAGTTTCTTGAAGTGGGAATTTGAGCTTCTGCAGACTGAATCACTGCTGTCTCCTAGCCAAGAAATTCACTTTCCTCTGCAGCACAGAATGTACCAGAGGGTATACTGGGCACCAATGCCTGATTTATCTCTAAGACTTCAACATATTACAAGACATCAAACCCTGAAACCACCACCTCGCACATTCCTCATATCATATCATCATATCATATCATATCATATCATATCATATCATATCATATCATATCATATCATATCATATCATATCGAGTTGATCCAAAATGTTCCTGTTTGTTCTATGCCTCTAACCAGTCTCCACCAGTCTAATTTTAGACATCAAGTCTTTCTGGCCCAAGGCCACAGTTGATTGTGTGTTCTGTACAGTGAGTGCCTGGAACAGTGAAAAAGTTCACAAATGCCACCACCATTTACGGACCACTGGATGGACAATAAGGCACAGGTTAAAAGGCTAGGTGAACACACTGATTATATATTTTCTTCCTGGATTTATCCACTGAAACAAAGGCCAATACTGATGAAATTAAATTACCAAAAATGTATTACAAAAATGTGGAAATGATCTAAATGTTCAAGAAATTATGGAAATTCATAGGACAAATACTTTAAAATTATGTTGCAAAAGAATATTAAAAATGCAAATCAAAACTACAGTGAGATACTACTTCATATCCATTAGGGTGGCTATATTAATAAGAAAAAAAGGAAATTAAGTGTTGGCAAGGGTGTAGAGAAATTGAACCCTCATATACTGCTGGTGGGACTGTAAGATGGTGCAGCCACTGTGGAAAACAGGTTGGCAGTTCCTCAAAATGTTACACAGAGCTACCATATGACCCAGCAATTCTACTCCTAGGTACATACCCAAGAGAACTGAAAACATGTTCACGCAAAAACCTGTACAGCACATGAAAGTTCATAGCAGCACTACTTATTTATAAAAGCCAAAAAGTGGGAACTCAAATGTCCATAAATTGATGTACGGATAAACAAAATGTGGCATAACCATACAATGGAATAGTATTCGGCTATAAAAGGAATGAAGTACTAAATATAAGCTACAAGATAGATGAACCTTAAAAGCATTATGCTAAATGAAAGAAGCCACACAAAAGGATGGACATTGCTGCTTCCATTCAGATGAAATGTCCAGAATGTCCAGAACAGATAAATCCACAGAGACAGAATGCAGACAGGTGAAATGGCCAGGAGATGGCACTGACTGCTAATAGCTACAGGGTTTCTTTTTAGGTTGATGGGAATGGTCTATACTGAGACAGTGGTGAAATTATGCATGACATGGTGAATCTAAAAAAAACCACTGAATTGTGCACTTTAAAATGATGAATTATATCTCAATTAAAAATCACACTACAGTACAGGCAACAGAATACATGATTCTATAGACAAGAGATCAGAATATTACATTACAAAATGGATAAAATTTGCCCTAGCCAGTTTGGCTCAGTGGTTAGAGCATCGGCAGCTGGACTGAAGGGTCTGGGTTCGATTCCAGCCAAGGGTGTGTACTTCAGTTGCAGGCTTGATCCCTGGCCCTGGTTTGGGGCACATGCAGGAGGGAACCAACTGATGTGTCTCTTTCACATTGATGTTTCTCTCTCTCTCTCCTTCTCCCTTCCACTCTCTCTGAAAAGCAATGGAGAAAACATCCTCTGGTGAGGAGTAAAAAAAAAAAGGGTAAATTTTAAGAATTCAAGATATTTTAAAGGAGGTGCCATTACTACAGTGGACAAGTACTCAGTAGTAATGTGACAGCTAACAACATGGGGGAAAATTAAGTGAGATACCTGGCTCATATTTTACATAAAAATATGTTACAGAATGTTGAGAGATTCAACTGCAAAAAATAAAAGTTCTATCAGAAAAATAGTGCATGTGAGAAAATGGTCATTACACAGTAGTTTAATAGAAAACATGTAACCAAACACTACAATGTCATCTTATTTGGGAAAAAAATACATATTTCCAGAATATTTAATGACCCAGAGAGACATTTGTAGCACAGTTCTAACTTAAAAAGGTAAAAATATGTACTGTATGAACCCATTTTGTAAATTAAGTACACAAACACAGAAAAAAAACAAGACTATACACCAACAGATTAAGAATCTTTCCCTCTGAATAGAGAGATTGTGGATGATTTCTACTCTCCTCTTTCTGCTTAATTTTAATTTTTTTGACTTTCTATAATTAACATGTATCAAATGAATAAAATGAAAAGATGAAAGCTACTTGAAAAAATGGATCTATCTATTCTATCTGCTCTCATTTGCATTATGAACCCATACAGATGACTTAGGTAATGTTATATTAAGAGTTCCTAGTCCAATAACCATGTTCTTCCCATTCCCAACATTACCTGGAAGATATCCATTAGAATCATAGCTGACAGCAGCATGGTGACCACTTCAAAATGTCTTGTCTTCATTTTTCTCTTCTAAATTAAAATGCAGAAATTCCAATTTAGCAGATTTTAAAAAAGAGGCTTAGGGAAGTAGAGCACTATACACTACATATACTATTTTCATTCTGGGTGACAGTGGGTATCATGATGGTCAGAAAGTCACTACCAATAAATTCCAATGGCTGGAAGGGCCTGGATTTTGCCTACTGGTCTAACACCCTCATTCTACAGATGAGGAATCAAAAACTTAGAGAACTTCAGCAATTTGCTCAAGATTAAATCTATCCATTTCCATTCTCCTCCAGATATGTTGTCTCTCCCACCATAGTCACTGGTGCTCATATTTTCTTGCTATCACTAAATCTCCCCTCAGCATACTCAGGAAATTAACACCAACTAAAACAAAACAAAAACATTTCAAAATTGGTCCCCCAGCTCTCAGTTTCTCAGAATTCTCCAGAAGTTAGAGCCCATTTATATCATCCACTCTTCTATCCTCTTCGCAAGGCAAGTCATGCCCATTTGACTAGAATGAAGGACATGACGAAGCCAGTAGTGGTACAAAGCAAGGTTTTCCAAGGGGACATCCTTCCCACAAATATTCACATTCAAGAGAAGCTCAGGGATAAAAACAAGTGTCTTTATATCTTTCTGCAGGCAAGAATAAGAGAAGAAGGAACAGCGTAGGCAGCAATTCTAATAAGATTATACAACTCTGCTGGCTGAATGCCCAATATTCATGACAATGTTTACGAGACTGAAAGGGGTAAGTAGAAGGGTAAGAGGCCATAAGGGCTGAAGCTGTCCCAGAGTCATTAAATGACTCATTAAAGGTGCTCTAGAGTTCTTCCCACATACTTACAACAGAGTTAATGTTACTGAAGTTGAACTAAAATCTCTATTTCATCGTACCAATCACCATACTCTGGCACCTGAATATGGGACTGAAAGCACAGAGGAAAGCAGATAGTCTTCCCTTTGGCCTTAGATTCCCACCTTTATTTAGGAGCCGTTTGTTTCACTAAAGATATTAAAATATAGTACCAAATATGCCACTTTTGTGTTAAACTTCCCTTTCCAAAACAGATTTGGTCTATAAGACTTGGCAGATAACTCTCACAGAGCACTATGTGCCAAGAAAGCTCGGAAACCAGGTTTTTCTGTGCGTTTTTAAAAATTCTTCACTTCTGTAGTCTGAGTGTAAATAAGTAAAAATGTTTACCTGCCTTTTCTGCCTGTGGAGGAGATTTAAATGATGCTAGGTCTCAAATGTTTCCCCACTCTCTCAGTTGTGAGCGTGTCTTCAGAATGGGAGGTTGTTGACAGTGAGAGCTGAGAAGGGAATGCTTTTCTTTTTATAAACACCCCCAGCAGTAGCTTGGCAGTGGCACATTACCCCATTTGTGTTCTGCTATTTATATCTGGCCCCCACACTATCCCTTGGAATCACTGCTGTTAACACATGAAATCACCAAGAGGCTTGTAAAGCCACAGCGATTCCTTCTAACCACACAGCATGCTCAGTTCTGAGCCCTCAGTTCTGGGCTTCTCAGAGAGTGATCACTTCCCACTCCTAACCTCTTGACTCTGAGATGTCAAACTAAAGCAAGACTTACCCTAGCTAGATGTTTCACATAACTAAGGGGACTTGCTGTGTTAAACACTGGCAATGACGATAGCTATCATCATTTACTCAGCCAGCTTACTGTATTTCAGGTACTGTGCCAGATGCTGGGATACACAAGCAAGTAAAGCAAAGTACTGAGAAGCGTTCATAATCTAATAAAAGATATGAGTATCTATACTTAACCAGAATACATGTTAAGAATCTTAAGTATAGACAGTCTAGTGACAACACTAAGAAGGGAAGGATTTGGTAATACCTGCAACTGTAACTCTCATCTGAGTGAAGTACACATAGTAAATATATTGACTACATGCTGAAGAACACTTACAATTCACTGACTGGATGAAAAATTGTCGAGTGTCCTAGGAAATTCATGCATGTGTACATCAAAATACATTAACTATTCATAATAGCCCAAAACTGTAAACCATCCAAATGCCTACCAATAGTAGAATGGACGAATTGTGGTTTATTATACAATGGATTTTGTATAACATTAAAACTGAGTAACTTCTAACCACATATAACAAATGTAGATAAATCTCACAAGGAAAATTATGACTAAAAAGACACACATGCATATAATGCATGATTTAACTTACAGAGAGTACAAAATCAGGCAAAACACATCTATGACATTAGATGTCACAACAGTGGTTATTCTGAGTGGGAGGTAGTAACTGGAAGAGAAGAGGCACAAGGGGAGCACCTGGGATGCTACTTAGGTTCCGTTTTGGGTTCTGGCTGTTGATTACACTGATACTCAATTTGTGAAAATTCACCAATCTATGTGTATTTTCCTGTTTGTGTGTGTGCATGCGTACATACATATATATGAAACATTTTAAATCATGAAGTGTATCCACTTTTACATAACCTATCTCATCTCTACTCTTCAGACTCTTTAACACCTCTAACCTCTTCTCACCTCACACGGACACAGACAATAGTGCGGTGACGTCCTCGTGTAGGGGGTGAAGGGTGGAGGGGGTCAACGGGGGGGAAAAAAGGATATCTGTAACACTTTCAACAATAAAGATAAATTTTTTAAAAAGATTAAATACACTAAATATAATCCTAGAAATAGTATCATTTTTTAAAAATGGAGTTTGGTTAGGAAGGAAAAAGTGTTTGCACATGTTTTTAGGCCTATGCTCATGCTGACCTGTTTTTAAGTCCCAGGCATGTGGGCCTACAGGAAATGTGGTAGTGGGGTTTTCCTGTCTTTGGCCCTCTCAGACCTACCAGATTCATGTACACATCACACAAAACACTGAGTCCACCAAGAACACAAGAAACACTGCTTGAAGTTCAAAGTGAGTTTTGCCTTGTTTACTTCCAATATACCTTTGCTCCATTCATGTTTTCTTCCAGTTTTTAACTCTTGATATCACTCATTCAACAAATATTTGAGTCCTTACAATGTTCCCAGCATTGTTTTAGGTACTGGGGGTATAACAGTGAACAAGATAAACACCTTGCCTTTGTCAAATTTATATTCTCGTGGGAGGAGGCAGTCAAATAACAATTAAAATAATTATATAAGTATGTTAAAATATACTAAGTACTCATTTTTTTAAAAAAAAGTAGTACAAGGGAGATTAGGAGTGCAAAGAGAGTTTGCAATTTAAATTGGTTAGGGAGAACTCACCAAAAAGGTGACAAAGACTTGAGCAAAGACTTGAAGGAAATGGGGGGGGGATCAGCCATGAAGATTGTGGTGGAACAGTGGTCAGGCAGAGGGAATTCAAGCAGGCCAATATGGCTGGAACAAACAGGTAAGGGAAGAGTAATATGAGTTAAGGTCAGGGAGGTAAGGGGGGAGTGTTGGAAAGATGTCTTTGCAGGCCACTGTAAGAATGTTGGATTTTACTCTAAGAGAAAGGGAGCAAATCACAAGGTTTGAGCAGAGGTATGACAGGATCTGACTTATTTTTTAAGAGAATCACGTTGGCTCTTATGCTGAGAATAATCTGTAGAGTGAAAGCAGGAAGACCAGTTTACAGGTTATTATAATAACGCTAGCAGAGATTATGGTGGCTCAAACAGGGATGGTAGCAGTAAAGGTGAGGGTGTGTGTGTGTTGTCATCTTTATTTTGTTTGTTAAAAATCTTCCTTTTGAAGATTAAGTTAAGCATAATACTTTCAGATATGATAAGAAAAAGTATTTGTGGGTTCTAAAAAGCTATTATATTTTTTAAATGTGATAACTTATTAAAAAGTAAATGGAAGTGATCTATAGTGATACCAATTTCTTACATAATAAAAATGTTTGGACTTAACTTAAGAATATAATTTTAAGACTGAAACAGTAGGACATGGGCTGCAAGAGAAACAATGGGGTAAAGGATAATTCCAAGATTTTTAGCTTGAGTAACTGGAAGGATAAAGATGTCAATGACTGAAATAAAGAAGACCCTGTGTAACAAATATCCTGGAAGTCAAATGAAGAAAACATTTTCAAGAGAAAGATCAAAAGTGTTAAATGCTTCTGATAGGTCAAAAAAGATCGGGACTGAGAACTGATCAGTGGATTTAACAATGTAGAAGACACTGAATTTTAATGGAACAGTGGGGATGAAAGCCTAGTTGAAATGGCCTAAGAGAGAATGGAAAGAAAAGAAACTGGAGAAAGCCAAAATACTCAACTCTTCCAAAAAGATTTTCTGTAAAGGAGAGAGAAAAAACGAGGCAGTGGCTTACTGGCAGGGCTGGAGAAAAGATAAAAAAGAGGATCCAACAGAAACTTTTTTAAAGATGGAAAATAAGTATGTTTGAATAATAATTCAGTAAAGAGGGTGAAAACTGGTAATATAGGAGAGGGAGGGGAGAATGGATAATATAGGAAGAGAAGGGAGAAATACCGGATCAATATCCTTGAGTAGGCAAAAGGGAGTGGGACCTACCATACAAGCAGATGAGGGCCTTAGATATGAACAAGAGGAAAGGCACAGGATATTGACAGATGCTGGAAAGCAGTGATTGTGATGGTGAGGATTCTTTTCTAATTGTTTCAACTATCAACAAAAGATGATAGTTGAACCGGTAGAGATTTGATGAGATTGGAGAAGATATAAAATAGTCATCTAGAAAAGTAGAAGAGTGACTGAAGTATGATTGCTGGGCCACACTAAGGGCACACCTGAGTTCAAAATGAAACCACTGTGTTTTTCTCCAGCTACACTCAATTCCACGAGATGTGGCATAGGCAAAATTCAACTGAACCAACACTGTAGCTTTTCCAGGCAAGGAAAAGACTGATTTTAATGATTGGTGTGGACAAAAGATTTGAATTGACATTTACCAAGGAAAATGTATGAATGACAAGCAAGCAGGAAAAGATGTTCAACATCATTAGTCATCAGTGAATGTAAATTAAAACCTCAATATATCCACTAGAACGCC